TTCCAATTTTCATCTTACCATCCTGGGGGTAAAGTGGTTGGACTGAAGCCCCCACTGTTGACTGTAGGCTTTATAATATAGCAGGTTCTGCTTCATGACTGGGTCCTCAGGCTCGAACAGGAAGTAGCTGTGCGCACAGGGCACTGCACTGCGTCCATCGTTCACTGTGCAGAGAATACACAGACCACAAACACTCAGAGATTCAACAGCAGAAAGTGTTGAGAAAGAATATTCAGAATCTGTGATTATGCTGAACTTACACTTATAATAGGCATACTGGAGGTAGTGGTAAACAGTGGGCACAAATCTCACTACAAAATAACCCCCAATATTCGGTGTCAGGTTTTCTTCGCACCTCAGTTTGCACCTTAATGTGTCAATGTAGGCATCTGTTGACAAGCAGAAAGAATTCAGATTACATGAAACTAGAAGTGTGCTGAAAGCTTTTACATTTAGATTTATTTTTAAAGAAGATTTTAGTGTTGTTTAGGTGCTCATTAGTGAGTATATTGATAATCTGGACATTTTTAAATATGACACACCAACCTGCTATGACTGCATAGAAGTCTCTGTCTGGTAAAAGTTGAGTGATCCCTTCACATTCGGCCTGACACAGGTCATATTCCTGGAAGTAGAGCCACAGAGCTTCCTCCAACTCTTGAACACCGCTGCTGTAGTCGCCCAAACCCACAAGTTTCACTCCTCTCAGAAATGAGGTCTGGAAACAAAATTAGAAACCATTAGCTGGCAAATTGTAAATAATCCAAGTAAAGAGTTTGTTCACTCTATTACTTATAAAAGAAAGGCCCAATACAGCGCCTTCTACATCTCAAGCAGTTCAGTCTCATTGAAGTATTTCATTGTTTTCTGATTTGTATGTGTTAGCCCCAATAACACATGAATGCATAAGTTTGGGAAGCTTTATACAAATTTTGCACCCACTCGTCCTTGCAGATAACTTCAACTTGTGAGGTAGTTTCTTGCAGGATAGCGTGTCAAGATTTCATGTTTGAGTCAGGAGTCTGTGTGAGCCAACACAAAAGCTTTGGCTTGTATTTCTGTTTTTCTTTCCAAGTGGAGTTTGGATCTGCTTTGGGGCATTGAAACTGAAAACATAATGACTTTTCCATCAGGACAGTTTTTGGACTGACTCAATCAGTGTAGTAAATACAGTCAGTGTTTAGTAGAATCCATTCTTTGCTTTATCTAAACAATTTCCAAACTGTTTTTGACTTAAGCAGATGTTGCTTTGCAGACTTCATACTCCTTTTTTTCTTTTTCTTTTTTAAAGAGATTGCAGGTGAGGCTTTTCCAGGCTTAAAGAACAATGGCTGAGCGCTTCTCACCTCGTAGGGTCGTTCTTCGTGGTCGATGAGGTAGCCGCTCAGGTCATACTTGCTCTTGTATTCCTCCATCAACTGCTGCATTTGCTGGTCCTCAGGGTTCCTCTGGAGGAAGGTGTGGGCGCATGGTACCGCCCTCTGCAGGTCATTCAGCTGTGCACACAAATTACTTTGGATGTTGTGAAATAGCGCACAGAGGTCTGTGGGTTTTTTGTTTGTTTTGTTTTGTTTATTTCTGTCGCACAAACTAAAAATCACCGCAAAAATCGCTGCAGGAGTTAGAATTATTT